GTTATGTTCAATTTTTGAGTTTCTCAATCATACTCTCAGTCATAAGTAGTTGTTAAATACCTTTCATCGGTCCGCATTTTCTCCTCTTTTCGATTTCTCCTAATTTCATTTGTTGTTTACCTTCTCTTCTCTGTTCATGATTCATAAGTTATCTTTTGAAAGTCCATTTGTTCTAATTGGGCTACTGAGAAAGAAGCACTTCTTGCTAAAATTTGTGCATATACATCTTTGGCGTCACATCATTTTTTTATTGGCAGATGGGTTTGCTGCGGTACGCAGCCTTTTTCGGCGTTTCCGCCATTTTGATTCGTTATGCTATGAACCTGCTTTATTCGAAACATCCAGTTCATGTCGAAGGAGAAGTTGACAGCAAGTTCGAGGGCGTTCGGAAAGCTTTTGAGTGAGTGAACAGGCTTTAATTTTTTCACTGAGATCACTTATAGTAGCTTGTTTGAGGCAAAATTTCATAGATGGATGGGAAGCGGAAGGGGCTTCATTAGCAGTGTTTGTGAAAGGACGAAAAGTTGTTGATTTATGGGGCGGGTATGCCGATGTACAGGCTGCTAGGAAATGGAGAAAGGCGAGCATTACTTCAAACAAAAACTTTTAGAGATGATTTTCATATTTAGGACACACTGAGTGTTGTGTTCTCTACAACGAAAGCAGTAGCAGCACTTTGCATAGCGCTTCTAGCAGATCGTGGAAGACTTAAATACGAGGATCTTGTATCCAAGTACTGGCCGGGATTTGCCAAAAATGGAAAGGGGAACATCACTATCGAGTGGGTGATGTCCCATATGGTGAGCTTTTGCTAGTCTTCTTTTTGGCAGTCGTGGAAAATGTTTATAGGCAGGGCTTCACTACTTTGACACACCAGTCACGGAAGAAATGGCGAGGGATCACAATCTGATGAGAAAAATCATTGAAGACGAGACACCTAAAGTACCTCCCGGAACTGCCAGCGGATACCACACGTACACTTATGGTTGGCTAGTGGATCAAATCATAAGGCATACAGATGAGAAGAAACGTG